TGTAATGGATTTCGACCAAAAATTCCATTTCACACACCTAAATTAATTACACAAATAATTATGAGATGTTGGGATGCGAGAATCACGCATCGACCCACTTTTGATGAATTATATAAAGAGTTAAAAAAATACCGTAATGATTATTATTATGATAAAAACAGCGAAATTACAATTCAAATTAAAGAAGCTGAAGAATTTTCCAAAAATCAAATAACAACCTACGCAACTACAACTCCAATGAATTATAAAACTCATCCGCAAGCAATTTATACCAGTAGACTTCTCAATTTTTCAAATCTTCCAAAACCTAAAAATGATGAAAATTTTGAAAAAGAACTTGAGGAATTAACTAAATCTTTTTACCAAATAAATTCTAGTAAGTATCAATTATGTTTTATATTATATTCATTTTTCATTTCATAATTAATTTATTTATCTTTTATTTTTATTTAGCTGATGATGATGAAGACGACGATGACGATGATTTGGATGCATCTAATTTGTAAATTTTATTTAATGTTATATATTAAATTATAAAACACCATTTATTCATTTTTCTATTATAAAATCTTATAGAGTATGAAATTATTATGTAAATTCAAATAACTGAGTTTGCAATTAAGATTTTTATTAAATAAAAATATCTCAATTATATATATATATATATTACAATTAATGATTTAATTGGATTGGATTATTGAATTGTTAAACAACCAATTTAATTAAAATTTTATCAATAATTGATTAAGCATCGCATCATAAAAATGATGGAATAAATCATATTATAGAAAAATATTCTTTTTATCCATAATTGGCTGAAACTCATTTTTAATGTTTCGCATGATGACAACATTTAAAACATGATATATTAAATACTTATATGTTTAATAAAATGTATTCAAGAATTTAAATTTTTCTCAAATATACAGTAAATGGAAAAATTTAACAGCATTTCCAACGAATTTTCACTATAAAGATGATTAAAAAAATATTAGAATTAGTTATTATGAATATTCAAGTATCCTAAATATATTATTATTAGACTTACATTATTATTATATTCTTATCTATTTACATAACATTATAAATATTATTAATTTAATTCATAATAATTGTCCTCAGTATTATTATCTTCGTTATCATCATATAAAATTCATATATTATTATTATTTATATCCATCATCATAATCACATCACACTGAAGAATAATAACTAGCCAAGTAGTGGTTTTATCATTATTGTTTTTTATTCATGATTAATTGGTACACCATCATACTAAATATTATATTAAATTAAGAACTCAACGAAGATATTCTATTCTTTACTTTTATTTGACAATATTCTTTCTGTTAAAAAAAAAATTAATTAATTAATTAAAAAAAAAGGTATAAAACTAATTGCCATCTATCTTTCTCGTGATTCTCATGATGAATACTTTTTAATTGAAAATTTTTAAAAGTTTGTTTAACCATTTTTCCTTTCTATAAAAATTTTTTTGTATTAGGATTAAAGAAAACATATAATTAAGACTAATTTTATTCATTTGTTGCTTATGAATTAATTACTGGAATTCTCCTATATCATGAAGTGTCGCATGTTGGTTGTTATTATCAAGAAAATCTTGGATAAATTTAAAGTTACAAAAATGCAATAATTAAGTTTTGCATTTATTTTTAATTCAAAAATAGATAAGCGAAGGAGCTGAATTTTCAGTTATTTTCTTTAATTAATTAATTTATTTATTTCAAATGGCACGATCAGAGGACTTTCCGCCAATAGCATCAGAAGGTAGAATCTAAAATTAATTTCAAAGAGAGAGAGCATGAGGCATTACTTTCTTTTAAATAATTTAAATAATGCAAAAAAATAGATGATAAAAAACTTACCTCAAAAAAAGAGGAAACATCGTAAAAAATCAAACATCACAAATGTTGCAAACAATCTAAAGAAAAAAACTACTTCGAGCAGTTGGTTAAACAGAAATAAATGATGATGATCTAAATGGAAAAGATCTTATAAATGTTGATAAAAAAGGGTATTATTCTAAAGTTTGATAATAATAATAAAATTTTTTCCTTTATACAAGCTTAAATATTTATTATTATTTTAGTTTCGAGACAGTACAAGAAGTTGTGATGAAATGATCTCAGCTCTAATGAAATTCGATCTTTCGAAGATGTTGGTTATGCATGTCTTAGTAGCGGTCGGTATGTTCTTTTTAATAATATTAACAAGTATTATTATAATATGCTAACAAATCGATCAAGTAATATATTTTTATAGTCATCGATTATGAATACAGTATGCACATATTCGTAAAGAAAATCAAGTTATTCCTGCAGAAGAGAAATGATGCTTTACGGTCATTACATTAGTTTAAAACTTTATAACAGAATTTATTAAATTCATTATACAGTCAAGAGAGATAACAAGATTATTGAGAATAATATCCAATCGAATAAGAGGAAACTAATAACATTAATAATAACAATACTTAAATTTCATTCTCTAGACAATCGATCCTTTCGAGCTAAATGAAATATATGCTAAAAAATATATAAAAATACTATAGGTAATAATTAAATAATTAATATTATTATAATTAAGACAATTGCTTCACCCCACATCTTTGCCATCTAATAATTCCCGTGACAATGTTCCGAAACAAAATCCTAGACAAAACATCAATAATTGTTTTTAACTATTAAATATTCATAACTATATTTTACGTATCATTATAAATATTAGTTCTTTAGCTTGATGATGTTATTTTTATTTAATTATCAATCAACATAATATTTTCTTTCCATTACACATAAATTTCGTTTATTTTATATTATCGGTGATGAAAAAAATAAATTTATTATTCATAATAATCATAATTTATAATACAAAAAAAAAAAGTGATAAAATTCAAATGAAATATAATACTTGTTATAGGTGAATGGTAGAAACGGTATTCGATTATAAGGTTCGTTTTGAATTTTTGCTGTTCACCTCAATCAAATTAATCAAATTAATATATTTTTCTTTATTATTTTTTTTTTCAAATAATTAACATTAGATGATACCATAGTATCATTATTACAATTATTACAACTGGACTATTTGCTTTTGATTTTTTCTATTTTTTTTTTTTTTTTTACATTTTATTATTACATTTTTATTATTTTTACTTAATTCAAAAAAAAAAATTATTTTCATGTACAATATAAATGCAACGGATATGTTCAAGAAAATCACGTTTTATACATTTTTTTTTCGTTTAAATGAAAAAATGTCACCTCAATAGATAATAAATATATGCGGGAGTTGAAATTTATATAAGTTTGTATAATATATTATTTGTTAATTTAAATTTAAGCTAAAATTATTTTTATAGTTTATTTAACATGATATATCAAATTTTATTTATATAAAGAATTAAAATTGGATCAAGTGAAAAATCATCTCTGATGAAATGACATGATTTCTTATTATTTATTTTATACAATATTTATCTTAATTATGTATTTCTTTAACAGTTAATACTTGATGAAATAAATTTTTTATAGAGAGGAAAAAATGGATAAAACCAACTTTTAAAAATTTAAAAGTATTCTCATGAGAATAATGAGAATCACAAGAAAGATGGATGGTTAAATGTTAAAGCAATATCATCTATATCTATTTTAGCACGAATATTGAAGAAATAAAACAACTATTAATAACTATTAATTTGATATCGAAGATATAATCTTATTATATACATTAGATTGCATCGAAGATATAAGAATTAATATTAATTATTCTAATAATAGTAACAATAATAATTGTAATATAATAAAAATAATCCTTCGATATGAATGATGAATATAAATAATAGATATGATGATAACGAAGATAATTAATAATATCAATAATGCTATGTAAAATAGATAAGAATATAATAATGATTTAAGTCTAATAATAATATATTTAGGATATTTAAATATTATAATAACTAATTCTAATATTTTTAATCATGTTTAATGTCGTCATCACACGAAACATTAAAATGAGTTTATACAAATTATGAATTTAAGATTTTATTACATATAATTTGTATGATGCAATTATTTTAAAATATTAATTAAATTGGTTCTTTAACAATTCAATAATCCAATCCGATTAGTAATATTTATAAAAAAAAAATCGAGAAATTTTTTATTTAATAAAATCTTAGTTACAAACTAATTCATATAAAATTTATTCTCTATACTTAATTAATGTCTATCTATTTCTATTATATAATACACAGTGGTGATATAAAAATATAATTTTATTGGCTAGATAAAGAAGCATTATTATTGGTAATTAAAATTGATGATTTGTGTAATTGTGATGCGCAAAAATTGATTCATGTCAGTTAGAAATTGAAATTAATAAAGTGTTTTATATAATTTAATAAGTAAGATATAAATATAAAATATATAACGTCAAATAAAATTTATAAATGTATCCAAATCATCATAATCATCGTTATTATCATAGCCTAATTAAATAATTATGATACTTACTAGAATTTGTTGGTGATAATCACACTGGTGTTGAACACCACTGGTGTGATTTAACAATATTATTTGTAATATTATTCTTTTATATTAATTTGAACTCCATATTTTTCAATAACTTTAAAATGATCATCACTTAATCTAAACAGTCGAGCTTGTTCTGTACGTATTACAATAATCTTTTTATTTCCTCCTCTTCCTTTACAACACCACCCTTCAACAAATTTTCTTAAACTATCAGTAGTAAATCTTCCCATTCTAATTTCAATAATTTCAAGTGATTCTGGTGCATTTTCGGCCATTTGGCACAATAATTCATTAGCATCAAATTCTTTTCCACAATTAAATGAAAAACTTCTTAATTCATTAAAATTATTATTAAAAATTGTTATTACTTGTTCAGAACTTAAATTATATAAAGTTAATTCTGTAATCCTTGTACAATAATTTAAAATTGTTGAAAATATGTCTAATGTAATCACGGAATTTAAATCTAAACAAATATTTTTTAAATTTGTATTGGCTGTTTCGAGAATTTTTATAATAAATTTTTGAGGATACCAATTATTTGTATGACTCGAATAAAAACAATGAAAGCTACTTAATTGAGTAAATGCTGAAGCGAAGAATAAACTATCTGATTTATCCAATCCATTACAATTTACAATACAAAGTTCTTGAAGTGAAATAAATTGTCCTATTGGTGATGATTTACACTCGAATTGATTAAAACTTACTGAATATAAATGAAGCCTCTTTAATGTTTCTTTTTGACCAATTATCTCCCATAATAATGAATTACAATCTAGACTATAAATATGATAAGCTGAAATTGATAGATTTTCTAACCGTTTTTGAACACCAATAAGGTTTACTAATAATTGTACTTGAGAATTTGTGTTCAATTCCAAATCCATATTTAAAATATTATTACAAATTAATGTCAATGATTCATATAATGGATGAAATTGTTCATTATATCTAATTGTCGAAGTAAAACTTTCTAAATTCTTAAGTACTTTCAAGGCACCAGGTAACTTAAGAATTGAAACAATTAAATCACTATATTTTAGAAAAAAATAATCAGGAAAACCCATGACTATCTTAAAAGAATCCAAAAATATACAACGTTCTATTATTAATCTATACATCTCACGAAATAATATTCTCGATCCGTTATCATCTGAATAAGGACCAATAATTTTTCGTGAATATATGGAAATAAGATAAAAAAAATTATTAATTATAAATTTATGAATGAATGATGGATAATCAAAAGTGGCTTGAGGTGGTGATGATGATAAATCAAATCCATTTTGAATAAGTAAGTTTCTAGCTTGAGTATCCATACATGATATATAAGTTCGAATACTTAATGCTTGCTTCTCCAACTTATAATCTGTACAATATTCTTGACCGAAAGGTAATTCCCAAAGTATTGGAATAGTAACTTTACACCAGATTCGATTAACTAATAATGATGAATATAAATCTTGAGTTGATTGAACATTATTTAAAATCACAATCAATAATTCTGTGGAAATTTTAGTTGTCATTTTTTTGTCAAAAAAAAAAAATAATCGTATCACATTTATATAAATATTCATGATTACTCTGATGTAATGGTTACCAAAATATTTATTAAATATTATTGTTTCACATCAAATTGAATTCCGTATTCTTCAATGACTCTTTTAATTGCTCAAATTTTAATGGTGTTAATGAACAATGAACGTTTTATACGTAATCTCCAGGGGTGTAACGTAGACCTTATACTTTTACGACATAAGGTAGAAATTTTTGATGTTCAAGTTCTATTTTCGATGTTCTATGAATATCAAATCATGTCATTAAATTATTTGTAAACTGTGAAACATAAAGCATCACACTTTTTGCTCCGGATCAGACTTACAATTCTAAATTATTTTTATGCTAAAAAAACTAGGGCTCTTTTTAAGTAAAATTGTCTTTTTGGAAAAAAGGAAATGATCTTTATGTCTGGTAAATTTTTATTTTGTATTCTGCATTGTGTCAAGTCGCTGCATCAAGCTTAAAAGTTATGAGATGCACTATGATATAATACCTTTAAAGAATTCAATAGATCGAGGTGAGTGTCGAAGCACTAACACGATCTGAAAATTCGTTTAGTGAAGGTTTAGATATAACACGTCACTAAATTCGATAAAGCGATCAAAATTCATGAATAATAGTTTCATTCATAAAACCTATATAAAAACTATGTTACACTTCCTCAATCTTTCCTGTTAGTAAGTAATAAACAATGTCCCGAAAAACTATTAGTTAGATTGATTACGCAGTAGTAAAATATTTCAATTTATATAAATTATTATTCACAGTAGTAAAATATTTAATTTATATAAATTATTTAAATCTCCTATCAGCCTGCAATTTAAAATCAAACATTTATATCTTTGCGTCTCGTATAAACTTATTTGTTAATCAATATATGCCTAGTATAATTTCCTGCGCACATACTGTATATTTCAATCACTAATAAATAATTAAAGTCAATTTAAATAGTAAATCTCATATATTACATATCATTAAAAACCTAACCCACAGTAGTTTTAGATTGTATTTTATTTTGTAAATAAAATTAATAAACAATAAATTATATATTAATTAATTATATTCTCTGGACTACACAAAATAGATGCTGAGAAAATAAAGTGTCTTGAAAATGCGATTAAAAATAATTCATCTCACAGAAAATGAAAAAAATTTTTACTTTATAAATTACAAAAATCAAATCATTCGCAGTTTCATGATTAAATATGTTTCTTTTTTTTTATTATCAACTTATTTATTTTTATATTTTATATTAAAAAAGTTATTTTACATCATTATATATTTTTAAAAATTTTACTGTCACAGCTTAATAAGAAATAAATTAAAAAATTTTTTGAATTATATTCTTTAGTATGAGTATGCTATTTATAATATTAGCGAGGAAGAGTTTAAAATTTCTTCATCTAAATAAAAAATAAATAATAAATAAATAATAAATAAAAATAAATAAAATAAAAATAAAATAGAATAAAATAAGATAAAATAAAATAAATAAATTAAAAAATAAATAAAATAAAAAATAAATAAAATAAAAAAATAAACATAAAAAAAATAAAATTAATTTGATTCCTTTTCTTTGTCCTTTAAATAAGTAACATTATCATTGTTAGAATTACATTTGTAAATACAAAATATTAAAAGATTATTTTTTTTCTTAAAATAGGTTGCATCAGTATTTATCACATTTTTTCTTTAAACACTCAATAGACAAAAATACAAAGTAAAATTCCCAGTGAAGATATAAAGCCTTGAATGGAAAGTTACAAAATACAAATAATGAAGCAAATTAAGTGAAAATTCATAATAAGCCTTAAAAATCACAGTGTAAAATCAGGATCAAGTAATTGCGAGTCAAAACTTATAAAATTAAGCTACTCTCTTGTTCCTCATATTGAAAAAACCACGAATTCAAAATAATGCACGTTTATTCCTTAAACCATCCATTTTAGCAGGCAAATTTGCCCGTTAATATAATTAGAGAAAAATTCGGCCCAGAAATAATTTTTATCCTAAATCTTGGCTGAATTGACCATGATAACTCCTGAATGGTCAGGTCACATGGTAATACTACAGCCACATTGTGATGTGTGCTATGTGACTCAAATAAGTGTCAGAATTTTGAGTTACATGGAATTTCATCGTGAGGTATTCCGGGTGCCAAACTTTTAAAATCGTCCCTGCAATTTATTTTTAACTACTACATATCTGAACAAAATAAAGTTATTATGTAATAGGGGTACATATCCATAATAAAATTTTGTAGGATAATTATTCTGGTCAAATTAAAAAGATTTCTTGACACATTCACATCAATAAACAAATTAAAAATTGTTGGCAAAAATATCTTTATTTAATCTTAAAATCCTAATCAAAGCAAAACTTTCAAAGTTATATACAAATATACAAATTATCAATGAAATAAATTTTATTATTCATTATTATTATTTTTTGTATGAAAATCAACAAAACAATTACAATTGCTATTACAGCATAGAGGCAATCCACACACTACACACCAAAGCTACTACACACCAAAGCTGACTTTGATGTGGCATTTTACAATCTAAATCCAAATTTTTTTACTTGTCAACCAAGTGCACCATTGATAAGCTTCTTGTCACTCTCCATTCCATGAATTGGTTTCCAGATGCCAACTGTTAATTTGAAAGTTCAAAATTTTTTGTTACCTTTGGCTACCAAATTTCTTTTTTAGTTTCTCTCCTTGTTTCTTTTTTTGAGCTATTTCTTAATTGAAAGTAGTGATTCCAGTTTTTCAAATAATTGTTAATCACAGCTGCAGGAGAAGAGATATGTAAATATCTTTTTATTTGTTTAAAATGCTTTAATGGCATCTGTTTTGAAATCTGATGGATGGGAAACTTCAAATCCTCATTCCAATATTGATTTAAAGAGGGTAATTTAAAGAGTCCCTGGTAAATAACCAGAGTGATCCAGATAATGAGCTCTCTATGATCTATTTTTTTCTATTGTCTTCCATTGACACCAGCATTTTTTGTTAATACATACAAATTTGTATTGACAACTATTGTGTCTAATGTAGAGTTTGTGAAAAAAAGGAGAAAAAGATTGACTGGTTTGGAAAAATTGGCTTCATAATTTGGTGACAAATTAATAAAAGCACAGTGAAGTGGCCTTGAGTGAACAAAATGTTTTGAGATTTGAAGGTGGTGGCAGTTGTACAGTCCTTGCAATTCTGCGTCTACCCCTACGAATGTACCTGGTGTCCTCTTCTTCGTCTTCCTCAACATCTGATTCTGGATTGTCTACAAAATGTTGGCGGATTATCAAAAGTGACATGTACTCTTCCTCTTCATTGGCATATTCTTTTGTGGTTTCAAGAGGAGTTGAACTCAAAGGCAGAAAAACCATTCTAGCTGTAGAAGACATACTTTTCAATGGTACTTTTGTAGGGTGGAAATTTTGGATTATTATTTAAAAGGATAAAGAGGGGAATCATGGGGCAATCAGCAAAGTAGTACACTTTCATAATAGTTTAGAAAGTGGGGGGAATTGATTAAGGAAATTTTGAGCAGTTATACAATTGCGGATCAAAAATAATTTTAGTGGCAAATTTACCTGCTGGACAGTTTAAGGGATAGATGGATTATTTTTGGGATGGCGAAACCTTGTGTTTATGACAAAAAACTTGAGGTATAAAAGTTATAATACCTTATATTTGCTCAATGTGAATATTAGATATTATATTATCTTATTTTGTAAATTCAGAAATTAAAAAAAAAATTGATATTTTGTCATTTTAATTTCAACGACAATAAATCATTAAATCTTTTCATTATATTAGAGAAAAATTAAAAAGTACAGTATTATCATGGTTTAAAATATTTTAAGATTCGAGTCATAGTTATTTTTTTTTTTATTTTATCTTTAATATTAATTATATTTAGCCTTGATATTTGCTTTTAGTTTTCTTAATTCTAGTTTTCAACGAAACAAAAATCATAGATCATTTTCTAGAAAATAATCAATGCTTTTAACAATTCTAACAAGAATCATTTATTAGTTTTTTTTAAAAGAAATAATTTATAATAAAGTAAATTAACTCACAACAATATTATCTTAATTACTCTTTCTTTTTAAAGAATTAATACACCGTTTGTACAGTGGGGTATCAAAAGTCACCGGACAGTTGAAATTTTTTAAAAAAATCACTAAAATTAAAATGCTAATTGTG